GATGAGGCAACGGTTATAAGGCAACGGTTATGAGGTAACGGTTACCGGTATCATGCTATGTTTAGTTCAGTTCATGTATATGCCAGGATCATGTTATTGTAATTATTTTCACTATTTACTTTAGTATGAGTTTCTGCGGAGTACAGTGTTTATAGTACTCACGCTCCCACTATTATCATGTTTTTAGGTCATGAAGTCGGAGCGGAGGAGTGAGATGACAGAGCTGTTTGGGACATGGCTAGTAGCCATTGTACATTATTGTACAGTTATGTTTTGCCACGCATAACTTCCGCTGTCACTTTATGATATTTCAACTAGCATGTCAGTTTTATTTGTAAACTGATTTATCAGACAGATTTTCTTTATAAAGTATTACATGCTAGTTGATCTAAAAATAATCCGTTTATTCTTCAAAGTTAAATTTAAATAAAGGTAACGGATTTCCCAAGCAATGAATGATTTTTAGTAGCATCCCGAAAAGGATTTCGCAAATGAACATGTTTTATTATGAAAAGAATTTGCGAAAAGTGCGCTCTGATTTTTATGGAAAGGCGGGGTGTTACACTAGTGGCCTAATCTTCCCACTAGAGTGTGCACATGGTGTCCGGTATTAGTTTGTGCCGGTAGATTCTGGTATTAGTTTGTGCCGACAGATGTTCAGTTATCAGTTACGTGACTTATGTCGCGAGATCAGACCGGTATCAGATATCAGTTTCAGTTTCAGTTCAGTTATATATGCCAGGATCATGATATTGTTATTATTTTTAATGTTTACATTAGTATGAGTTTCTGTGGAGCACAAGTGTTTTAGTGCTCACGCCCCCACGCATTTCAATGTTTTTCAGGTCGCAGGGTCGGAGGCGAGGAGTGAGCTGGCGGGCAGTTCAGGATATTTGTGATATATGTATATATGTTTTGCCACGCTGTTATTCCGCTAAAACTTTCAGTACTTAAACTCAGTTTTTGATCCGACGCTAGTCGGTTAATATATTATAACCGTTTTCATTGTCAGTTTAAAATTTAACGGTTTCCAGAAAAGTCAAGTTTTCACGGTAGCATCCTGAATCAGTTTTCGCAAAATTAATATTTTATTTATTTATTCAAGAAAAATTGCGAAAAACGCATACTCTGATAGTATTAAAAAGTCGGGGTGTTACAAATTGCCAATCATGAGGTCCGGGCATCCCCTCCAAAACTCGACCCCGCTCGCATGAGTCTTATCGCCCTAAACTCAAAATGGCATACACCCACATAGAGAACTCAATCCGACTCACCCTATTCTCATATGCTTACTTTCTTGCAGGGAAGGGAAATCCACCCTGCCCGTGCTCAGGCGTACATCCTCTTGCAAGGGGCCCAATCCGGCTTGGCCTATGCCCATGAGTATCAACCATTTCACAACGTACCTAACAACACACAAGACCCTAACAGGTCGTTCCATGTATTGCTAGCATACTCCGACTGCCCAACCATCAAGGTGGATACGTGACGCCAAGCTTCAATCTCGTGCCTGGGTCACACTGAAAAATTGCTCACGATTTCGTTATGGACCGTGCGTCTCCATCAAAAATGTTGACACGGTACCCCATATAGTCGGTGTAACTCCAAGGCAATCATATTCTCGATAATATCTGTAATGCCTCAGTCTTTTATTAATAAGGGAAAGATACTAGCTTTCGAGTATAAACTAGCCTTTATTAGTAAATGCTCGATATTAGTTCCGAGTCTAAGTTATTCAGTTAGTTAAATTTAGAGTTCGACGATAAGTCAAAAATACCTTAGTTAATTTTATTATTAACCAAGTCAATTCTAGTATTTGATCTCGGTCTGTTTATTTAATAAATGGACATTAGTAAGTTTGGAATTAATTATTCTAGTGTTGACGTATTACTCGAATTTGAGAATATTTTGATAAATTATCAAAGATGAGTTTTGAGCCTAGTTAATAAGTTATTCAGATATGAGTTCGACTTTGAGTCGAAAATCTATTCGGTTAAAATATTTTCAGTAACCGAATCAAATTCAATAATTAGTTCCCGAAACATTTATTTTATAAACGGACATTATTAGTCGGGATTAATTATTTAAAATTGAGAATATTCGAAATAATTTCGAAGTCAAGTTCCGACCGAAATCGTGTAAATTAGGTCAAAATATTTCAAGCCTTAGCCAATTTTATATAGCATTTTCCTTAGAATTTTCCCTAGTATTGCGTACTAAGCATCATAATTTGAGTTAAGATCATGCCATTAGTTCTAGCAATAAGCATTTTCTCAGCC